AAAAAAAAAAAAAATAGTCAAAATATAGAACAATCGCATATGCACAACAATTGGTACGTGACTTATATATCTTACGGCAGATATTTCTGAACGTTTTGTAAGATCATGTCAATGGGTATCTTCGAGAACGAAATCTTCATGATGTCGAATTCGCTACGAAAGATGCAAAAAATGTTGGGCACTCGGCTGGGAGCAAATGTACTTTACTTTAGAATGGAACGGCCGGTTTGTTTGATATTAGAAGACCTTTCTCGTCTAGGATTTCGTATGGCCGATCGTTTCCGTGGTTTAGATTTCGATCATTCCAAGCTAACTCTTCAAAGCTTAGGCAAATTTCACGCAGCGTCGGTAGCACTCTGCGAAAAGGTAATTTCTTCTTCGTTATATGATACGTGACGAAATATTTCCATGCGTAATTATTCCATCTTGAACGTTTTCTTTTTCTTTCTTGTAGGAACCCAAGCTAAAGACTCTATACCAAAAAGGGATACTGTACGAAGGAATGCCGACCGAATTCAAAATCTTCTTCGTCTCCGCGATTAAAGCTCTTGGAGATGATTTGGCAAATTGGCCGCAAGACGTGAAAAGGTGAAGCATATCGAATCGATATAATAATCACGAACGCGAATAAGTGAAACTAGGATTACTTCGACGTTTCATTTCTTTTTCTTCTTCTTCTTCTTCTTTTTTTTTTTTTTCCAATTTCACGTGATCTCCATATATATATCACAGGTATCAGAATAAAGTTAAGAAATTCGCCGAAGTTGTTTACGACCGTGGTTTAGCGGCATTGCAACGAAACGACGACGAGTTCAACGTTATTAATCACGGTGATTCCTGGACGAACAATATGATGTATCGATACGATGAGAATTCAAAGCCTATCCAGCACGTGTTTGTAAGTATTCGATATTTTGCGTCGAACTCGTAAACAATCTAATCAATTCCTCATTCAAAGAAATAGAATCAAATTCTATCCTTAAATTATGCGTTCTTGAAACGTTATGCATCGTGAATAATGCAATAAAATCCGATCGATATTATCTCTCTCGAGTCGAAGGACAAAGCTTCGATGATTTCACGAATCCGCGCTCTATTCTTTCTTTTCGCTCAGATTCCATTTCCAATTCCGTTTCGCGGCCAGTTTACATGGATCGATGTTCCAGGTGGATTTCCAAATGTCCATCTACACTTCACCGGCGATCGACCTGCTCTACTTTTTAAACGCGACCGTCCAAAACGAAGTGAATACCGAGAGTCTGATCGAGGAATACGTAAATACGTTGACCACCACCATGAAGAGGCTAGGTTGCAAAACGACACCACCTACGATAAAAGACATAAAAAAATATATGAGAGAAAGGATAGCATGGGGGATGTTGGCCGCGACTACCGTATTACCGTTCACCCTGATGGATAAATCCCAGGTGGTGAGTCTCGACGAGCTGATCAAGAAAAACGACACGTTTGATTATCCCGGGACCAAGAATCCGATGTATCGGAAGGTAATGGCCGAGAGATTAGCGAAATTCGAAGAAGCAGGCGTGTTTGATTAATTCGGTATGGATTAAAAGAGCTGTGCTGTGTTTAAAACTAATTGGAAAGAATCAATCGTATACGATGCAACAATTCTTTCTCGTAAATGATATATACGCTCTCGTAACGATGTACTACGAAAATATTTAAATTTAATTAATAAGATACGTTGACACGTAACGCGAGAAAACGATCTATTATCTTACGAATTCGTTGATTATCGTTATTCTCTTCTCTTTGTAAATTAAAAATTTGATAATTGCACATATTTATTTCACATCGTTTATACGAAAACAATACTCTAGAAATTATATGCTATACTCTTCGTATGGCAATATCGAATGAGAGCAAAAGATGAAACGAGAGAGAGAGAGAGAGAGAGAGA